TTTTTATTCTAATGTCTATTTTATAAAATTCCAGCAATCTTTTGGTAAGTTGATTGTATCTTTATAGTAGCACATTTCTCCATGACTGAGTAGAATAGTCATAGGTACATACACACACTTGCATGCTCACTCACACTCACATAATTCCTCCCAAGAATTAACATGAATACTTCACCATATCATTGTCTATTGAGGAAGAGAAATATCTCTAATGCATTTGAAATTGCAATTGAGCTTCTACTTTTTGTAAACTGGCTCTTTATATTATAATTCAGTATTGGTAGTTGCTTCTCTTTGGGAATATCTTGGTTCAAAGCATGTCTTATTAGCCATACTAAAAATAATGAGTAGTCTCATTCATGAGCCACATACCGTTTAACAACCTATCCCATATCCATATATAGTTTTTGGCATAGTTTTAAAATTGTCATTTGTGAAAACCCAATTATGACCCACATTAGATGCTGTTCTTGTGCTTACTTTGGTGTGGTGGTGGGGAGATGGGTTCCATTCTTACAATTATATTAATTTCAATTAATTCAAATTAAATTGAACTGAAAGCTCTGAAAGTCATTATCATGGTAAGTTTGCTATTTGAGTAGTAAGAATGATTTCAGGGAAAGTTGCACCAAAATTACCAAAATGAGGACAAGTACCACTACAGCTACTTCAGGCAATGAGCAGACTATTTAGAGAGTATTCTTTTTCAAAAGAAGCATCAGAAGCCATTGAGACAAGCTCAAGTATTTAGCTAATAACTGCCTACATGAGTAATAGAAGCAGATGTTGACTGATGTCCCACAGGATCACAGATTTAAGCACCTTTTCTGTAACCTGAGAACTTTTCTTAGTAGACTGGGAATTACAATGAAACAAGTTGCAGCATTAGGATGGAGTGTCAAAAATGGTGTCTCACCTTCTTTCATAGTAGTGACTCTGAATCAACTATTAGTAGACATTGGGCTAGACCCCACATTAAAACCTAATAACATATAGGGAGCTTAAAATATACCATATAGATTAAACAAACCTGGTCATATGAAAACGTCAGATATACAAAGTCAACACATAAGGTACTTTTAAACCCAACAAAATTAGAAATGTAGGAATTAATAAAATTTTCAAACAGCTCAGAATTGTAAGTTCTCTAAGATTTAGAAGTGGATATATTGCATTTAATCCCAGAGGATCAGGAAGGGGGTCACAGAAATTTGTTCTTGATGTTGAAAATAAAAAAGGGAGAACTTATTTCACACAGAAGAATATGGGAAAAACACTAAACAGCCAATGATACTGGACAGTTCACAATCAAGCTCTGCTGGAGTGGAAAGTTAATGGGAACTGAAAATAGAAAGTTATGTGGGTACTTCCACCTTAGGTTCTTTTACATACTTACTCCCAATTGTTCAGATTCTATCCTGTCCTGGTACACATTAAAACACATAACTCAGTAGCTCAGCAGCAAAATGAGTCAGTCTTGTTTCTGGATACTTTAGGGCTTTGTTCTTAGCAGTTTTTCCACCCTCCTAAAACCTAGTAATATTTTAGCTAGATTTTACCAAAGCATTTGCATTTGGTGTCTCAGAAACAAATAATTTTAGAAATTTCTAATCCAAGCCCATTCCTAATATGACTAAGATGTAGAGTTTTTAAGACTACACATCTGAATACATTTATTTTATTTACAAAACCCAGACTTTAGATGTCTAATTTTAGTTTGACTTCCCCATTCCCAGGCTAAAATATTGATTTTGTTTTTTGATTGTGCTTTCTTTACCCTGTCTAATGTTCTTTTTTTTTTTTTCCTTTTACTCTGTCCAGTAGAATAAAGCTTTCTTGTTTTTGTTTTCTATTTCTTTAATTGGTTCAGGAGTTTACTTCATTGAGTAATTTCCCTGAAATGGGATGATTTAAGAATATGAACTCTGACTGCATTAGCTAATTGTTTTGAACAATTGTATTGTTATACAAACCTGTCTTTAACTTTTCCATTAATGAGCCCTTAACTCCAAACAAAGCAATATCCATCATCCCTAACCACTCTGCTGCCAGCCTGAGTATGAGCAAAGGTTACATTAAAACCTAGTAGAATCTTTGGTTGCTTAAAGTTGATAGCTGATTTGTTTGCATCGAACAAACATCTTCTCACACTAGGTCAAAGAAAGGATAGTTTATTCTACAAATACCAATGAACAGGAAACTAAACATTAACAGGGACTAAGGCTGCCCTAGGGACTATTCACTTTCTCTCTGTTATTACAGGGCATCCTTTTAGCTTCTCAGCTTTATTCTCTGAATCTGATCTAGGCACCACTGATAACAATTCAGGATTTTTTACACTTTCAAAAATTGTTACTCTGCAAAATTTCAGCTTTATCTTGCTCTAGACTCTTGCTCATGGGATCCTCTAATACAAATTTTGCCTTCTCTAAAGCCTTGCTCAAAGAATTCCTAGGGAATTCAGATTGCCTTCATACATCTTTTTACACCTGAGGGTGGATTTAAAATTATAGATCATATGTAATTTGTTGGCTCTCAGCTGGCTGATTGTACTTGGGTCCAGTGTCCACCCTTTGTCTGATAGCCATGACTAAGTCTCCACGATGTTAGGTAGGGACATGTGGTCACTGCCCCCTAAGGGGTGCCCTAGGTGGAGATATTTCTCTTTGAAGGGAAGTGGACATGAAAAGCCCTAAAACCTTTGAAATATAAATGGCCATAACCTGTGAGAAGTGATCTTGAGAAGAAAAGAAAGGACTGGGCTTTTTACCTACCTTGGAAAGAAAGGATTCTTATGTCAGGATCCATTGTTGGAAGGAGCTCATCATCACATGGAATAATTCAGGGAAATGTGTAAGTCTTGGGAGCTCAGGCATCGTTCCTCCATTCAAGTGCTGAACGATATCTGAGGAGACTTAGAAGGAATTTACTTCTGAATAACTCCAGCATTCCTGACAAGTGGTCATCCTGTTTCAAACATGAATACCTCCAGTGACAGAGGGCTTATTGGAAGGGTCTACTATCCTCCTAAGGAGTTACTAGCCCTGGATGGAAAATCATTACCAATTGTGTCCAATATTCATCTTTTATTGTGAAGGACAATAGTGTTCTCCAAGAGCTAAAGCACACAGTGGAATGTTTTGATGGAGTACTTCTTTGTCTCACAAAACCCAGCACCATATTTGTGGCAAACAGGAATCAGAGGAGTCCTGGATATGCAGTGGTGGGTGATTTTGTAAATGTTCCTCTAAATGCTGTAAGAAATGTTACTCAGTTACCATAACTCCTACCCCTGTGTTTCTGAAATTAAAATTAAAATATTGAATTCTTTTTTTTTTTAAGAAGACTTTTTTTTTTTAAAGATTATTTATTTATACAAGCACTGGGTACAGTCAGAAGTGCAGGAGGGTGAGAGAATTCACCAGAGCCAGAGCAGGGAGCAGAGCAGGCAGAAGGACCGAAGTACACTGCTGAGGGGAGCAGCGGGCGGCAGGAGAGGTCTGCGCGCCATGTGGGACCCTCCTCCAGTGGCTGGGGAGCAGCCGGGGAAGGAACCAGCGCTGCAGAGACTGCGGACAGCTTGGCAACCCAGAGCTCAACCGCTGTGCCACCGGGGAGGCCCAAAATATTGAATTCTTAACACAGAATAAGTTCACCAAAAAAAGGGTGAGGTCTGTTCCCTTTTCTGCATTCAATGATGGCCACATGGTAATTGTTAGGAATATGGCTTCCTGGAGTCCTCTCCTGAGGCTGGCAGGTGACTCCAAGAGAAGCACCAGACATGACCAGAGACAGATCTCAGTGATCTGCTCTCAGCTTACCTTTTTAGTCCAAGTTTTGCTGCTTGTTTTAATTTCTCTAGAACTTTTTTGGGTCATACTGTATGACATGAAAATGACTAATGATACCATTTGCCTTCATACTTTTTCTTTAACAAGTTGTTTTTTTAAAAAAATATTTTATTTATTTATACAAGCACTGGGTACAGTCAAAAGCGCGGGAAGGTGAGAGAATTCACCACAGCCAGAGCAGGGAGCAGAACAGGCAGACTGACGAAGTACACTGCTGAGGGGAGCAGCAGGCACGGCAGGAGAGGTCTGCACGCCATGTGGGACCCTCGCCTGGCGGCCGGGGATCGAACTGGCACTGCAGAGGCTGTGGGCAGCTTCGCAGCCCAGTGCTCAACTGCTGCGCTACAGGGGAGGCCCAGTCTTCATACTTTTTTGCCTCTGCTCATATTGTTCCCAGTGCAGGGAGACCACATTCTTAGCTTTCCTATCAGCTGCTCATTTTAAAATGTTAATTTCTATCAGTGAGGTTCAACGGATAACTTTAAAAAACAAATTGTCTCTTACCTCTCCACATCTCCTTCCTTTTTCCTAGAGGCAACTATGTTCAACTCCTGTGACTGCTTTTTTAATATTTACATCCATGTTACCAAATAAAATATTTTTGCTTCCATTTTGCTTTTTGCTTTTTTCAGATTGACACATACTTACTGACCTCCCATTATGAGAGCTTCTTCCCATATCTACTTCCAATTTCCCTCTTTTCCATGTCTTCAAGATATAGTAGTTTATATATTTATTAAGTATGCACATTATCATGGCAATGTAAATGCTGCTTACAACTAAACCACAGAGTGCACATTTAATTTTTGTATAATCTTTCCTTCTTCCCAAAGTTAATAATTGATTCTTAGTTGCTTTATAACTTATGTACGATTATGTCTCTACCATAAATGTAAATCTTCCTGATATGCTTAAACATATTGAATAATGTATGTTTGTCCTCTTTCTCTTTGAAACATTCCTTCTGCAGACATCCCTTATCCTTGCAGCGCCTATAAAGACCATTTCTTAAAACTGTGGCAATCCTGTCATCTGGGACATCTTTACCATGTTATTGGATTTTCTTTCCCTATCTCCAGCATCACAGCCACTGTCTATCCATTTACTAGAGTAGCTACTCAAGACTGCATGGATAGTAAAATATAAAGCATGCTTCAGATAGGAAATACCTTCTTCTACCTTACCCTTGATGATTCAGGCTATGTAGAAACCTGTTTTGTAAATAAATTCTCCTTAGAAGTTTGAGGGCATGATACCATATTGTTTTAGCTTCCACTTTTACCATTATATAAGAAACAAAGCAAAGGAACTGACAAAACTAAAGCAAAACAAACACTAGAAATATGACTGCAGAATTGAAGCTACTAGAAGGGGTAGAACATGGGGGGGAGTTACGAGGGGACCTAGTGATCCAGGGTAAGTGACTACGGGTGCTTTGGTGGTGGGTGTGGCATGGTAACATAAACCTGAAGAGGTGTGAGCCTATACCCCTAAACTGTATATAGTGTTGCAAACCAGTGTTACCTCAAAAATTGAAAGTTACCACAAATAAATCTAGCATGTTCTAATTCTGACATTTTGTACATAGAATATTTCTAGCCCCCTTCCCCATGTGTATATGTGTGTGCGCATGCGTGTGTGTGCATGTGTGCCTCTGCCTCCCTCCTCCTTGCACTCTCTCCTCCTTTTTGCCTCTTTTTCTCTCAGTCCTTCTCATGTATATTTATGTATATTTCTTTTGGGGAGGTGACATTGGTTTATCACACTGTATATGTTCTTGGCTATAGAATCATACCTCTTCAAATGTATGTCAGTTACCATACCATGTGTATTTTCCTGTATGTTTTAATTTTAAGGGTCAACTCTTTGTGCAGAGTGATCTTAAATTTCATGATGATTATGTTGCTGTGTGTCTTTTCTCATCCATTTTGATGGATGACCTTCAGTCCTAGAAATTTCTCCTTCATTATTTTGTTAATTTGCTCCCTTTAAATGGCTTTGTTCTATTTCACTGAAATTCCTATATTCAATTTTAGTACCTATAAGATCAATATCATATTTTCCTGTGTTTTCTTTTTTCTGCCTTGTTGTTTTATTATTATTCTACATTATTCTTGTTTTTTTCCCCATGACATCCTCTGCAAGGAAGTGGCTTTTTAATGAATGTATGTGTTTTTGTGACTAAGAGTCATAGTGTATATATTGTTACCTTTTCCCCAACAGGATGCTTTTCTAAATTATTTAAATCCTCAACTCAATGTTTATAATTCACTTCCATCTTCAAGTAAGATTTGGTATTTAAATACTTAAGGTTTTATATTAGAATCAAAGCTAAGAACAAACTTCCTAAAAAAAAGGTTAAAGTCAAATTTCCTGCTTGCATTGTATATGATTTAACATGATTTGTCTACTGCATAATTTTAAAGAAATTTTAAGTGGTCCCTTGTATCAAAAATCCATTTCTGAAGAGCTACCTTATTAAACAAAGAAGTAAATTTTCCAATTGTCTTGACCCCACAATACTGATTAATAATGGCACCTGCAATCTTCCACATCTTTGGGGTACATTGGAGGAAGAGGATCATTTACAGTTTCGGTGATCACATCACATGGGTAGGGCTGTGTCACTCGTGTATGGTATGTGCAACTGGAATACAAGGATAATGTCCTGCTAAATGTGGAGTTTATGTCATTGCACAGGTTGCATGTTCATGAATTCAGCCCTTGCCCCAAGATTAAACACTAAAATTAGGTGGATTCACTCTTTTTTATGGACCTGCAAGGTTCTTGGATTAGAGGTTTGTGATCTCAGAGAGAAAAGAGCTGGTAGATTTGGGCTTCCTGAAGGAAGATGACCAGTTCAAGGACTTCCCTGCAGATGACTGGGCTGGTTTAGATGAAAATGAAGATGCACCTGTCTGGGGGGATAATTGGGATGATGACAGGGTAGAAAATAACTTTTCCAATCAGTTATAAGCCAAACTAGAGAAAACATAGGTATAAAGTAGAGACACTTTTTGCGGGGTGGGGGGCGGGAGGGGAAGGATTGGGGTCAGAATGGGGCGTTTGCAATTGTATGGGGGAATATAAAAATAAAATTTAATATTTTTAAAAAAAAAAATAAAAAAATAAAGATTCCAGCGGGGGGGGGGGAAATGTATATTATATAAAGTATAGCATGCATATGTATATTTCTAGCCATATTCCAATAACCATATTACATACATATATGTATATAAAATATGTATTCACAATTATAACAAATAAAAATATGTTGTCAAAAAAAAAAAACAAAAAAAAAACCAAAAAACAAAAAAAAAAATAAATAAAATAAAGTGGAGACCTCATAGTATCCAGAAGTATTGAAGCAACCTAAATTTGAGCTATACACTAAATTCCACCACAGAGAATGCAGGATGGAACACTTGAAAATATATTTTATTTCATTGCCTGCTTGGATGTATTTTCATACACACACAAAAATAATTTTTTGACATAAAAACACCTGGGATTAATAATAATAATACCACAAAAAATGACTTTGATCCCACTGCTACCTTCAAAGTCCCATATGCTTTTTTTCTTTTTCTGCTTCTTTTGCTGATTGTCTCCTCTGTCTGCCCTTTTTCCATCATTACCTGGATAAATATTATTCTTTATAAGCTCCATTCCAGTATCATAAATTCTGGAGGTGCTTCTGATGGCTCCCCTCCTTTCATTTCCAGCTTTTAACAAGTGCCGCTCTTGTGTATTTCTGTGCTCCTACACACACACTTCTGTGAAGGTATCTATCTTTATGTTTGTCTTTGTCTCTCTGTCATGGGCTCTTTGATTTTCCAGAACAATCCCCAGAGTTCAGGACACTTTTTGATATACAGTATGTGCTTATGTACATGATACAAATTAGTTCAATATAAAATTAAAGATAAACTTACTTTAGGACTATAGTCAGAATTTTATTTCTGTTTCATTCCATAGCATAAAATTCTTATCTTTGCACATAGTTAAAGTGCATATTTTGCTGACACATATCAGCTACAGTATTAAAACAGTCTCCACTGTATGCGCTGAAGATTAGAGGGACGAATTTGACCTTTACAGTTGATATGAGTCCATACTACAGCTATTAAATATCCAATTTTAACTTAGCCCTTTGATGCATCACATTTTAACCTAGTGAATAATTAACTTTTCAGCAACTTTGCATATTTTAGAAATACTCCAGGGCTTTGATTTATTTACTTTAGTATATGTTTCTCAACTCCTTGCTAATCTTTTCAGTCACAGTTAAAGTCTAAAATTTATATAAGAGCCAGGGAAATGGGTCCATCAGCATCAGCCCTCCTCCTTTCCTTTCTCAGGGCCTCACTTTTTGTTGCCATTATTAGAAATGATGTGTCGGTTACCATTTGCACAAATATGAAAACTTCTTTAAGTTAGGTAAGCTCTCAGCTATATTATACCTATTTTATTTTTATTTTACATATTTTTTACATTTTTCATTTTTGTACAATGTATAAATTTTCATCTTAGTTATAGTCCCCATACAATTCCCACCACCCTTGTTTGGATCATATTCCTGTCTCCCCACCTGTAGTGTGTCTCTGTTTATAGTTGCCTGCTGATTTTGATTTTTACTGTATTATAATTAGTCTTTTTCCTGATCCCTTATTTAGGTTTTCTAAATTCCTGCTATGAGTGAGACTATCCGGTATTTTTCTTTTACTTTCTGGCTGTATGATCCCTTCCAGCTCCATCCATGTTGCTGCAAATGGCATGAGTTTATTATTTTTTTAAATTTTATTTATTTATGCACGTAACAACTGGGGTGTAGACCAGAGGTGCTGGGGGAGTGGGGGGGAGGATTCAGCAGAGACAGAGTGGGGAGCAAAAAAGGTAGATCTACTGAAATGCACTGCTGAGGGGAGCAGTGGGTGAGACAGGAGAGGTCTGCTGCACCATGTGTGTTGCTCCCTGGGCAGCCGGAGATCAGACTCATGCTGCAATGGCTGGCAATGGCTTGAGAGCACTCTGTTTAACACCTGCACCACCAGGGAGGTCCCATGTGTCTATTCTAGAGAAATTCTATTTTCCTAACCTGGTGAGTTCCCAAATTTACTTACTCATGACATGTGATTATTACTTTATTTAGGGATTCCCTTTTCCTGTGGAACTTTCAATTGTTTCTAATTTTTTTAATTCATAGTACTCTAATACTAAACATCTCTCTGTATGAAATTTTGAAGAGCTTTATCTTCCTAAGATATGTATAAATTAGTCAAATTGCACTATCAAATTACTAATTACAAAAATTGTGCCAGCTCCATTTCAAATAACTATACATATGCTATTTCTAAAATTGTGTATTTTAAATTTTTTTTTTAATATTTGCTAATTTAACAAAAAAAATTTGTTACACATTTGGTTATTATGAGATTGATTTTTTTTAATTTAATTACATTTGTTTGAATGAAGAGTACATCAAGCCTTATATTAATATTACTGTACCAATTGCTTCCTTGGGTCATTTACTCCTTCACTGACTAAAGGAACTCTTGGTAATCCCTCCCTTATGATATCATCAAGCCCCTTTCCTTCCTAACTCTTGTCTGTTTCATCTCAGCCCCTTTTTCTGGCTCCCCATCTTCTATTCATTGTATATGTTGATATTCTTAAGCCCTTTTGACTTTTGCCCATACAGCTCTGCTCATTTTATTTTATCATTCCTTAGGGCTGAAGAAACCATTTACATCCTTATCTCCAATCAGTTTGTCTTACTCCTTTCACTTGAGCTTCTCATGTACATTGACAGCTATTTCTGAATGCCTCCATTTGGCTTTCTCATGGTTGCCTCACAATCAACAAAGCTAAAATTTAATAAGTCATTTCCCTCATACAACTTGAGAGCCCCCATGCTGGTTCCTCTTGTGACATTTGAGTCTTCAAGTAAAAGCATTACCATTTATCCACTTGCTCAAATCTAGAAATTTCCCTCTTTGAACGATTGTTACAGGCAGGGAGAGGGACACCACAGAACCCCCAAACCTGCTGGCTCTAAATAGGTTCTGCCATCTGCTGCATCAAGACAAAACATATTAGACCTTTAATGGAAAGGAACTTTAATATATTTAGTGTGCAATACAGACAAGACAAAGAATATAGATTCCAAATCAAGCACCCAAAGTTATCGATCCCCTTGTAGGTAAATGTCTAGCCAAACAGGATTGACCCAAAGCAAGTCCCAAAAGTCTGCCTCAAGTCTAAAGCAACTTCCAGCAGGGTCCCATAGAAAAGGGTCAGAAATAGCTGGACAAGTCTGGGAGGAAAAGAGCAAAATCAAAATCGAGATAAAAACTGCCATTGTTAACCTCCCCACAGGTCTCTCACCTGCATCTGTTTCAACCAGTCCAGGACCAAGAAGCAAGTGCAGCTTCTTCACATGTCTCTCTGCTCCTCATGCCTCCTCCAGGTCTCCTTCTGGCTCTCCATCCTGCTTCCTTCCTTCCTCAGTCTCCTCTCCAGCTTCCTCTTCTCCCTGCTCAGCTCCATCCTGCCTTGGATGGGGCAGAGAACCTGGAACCTCCCCTTTTCCAGGAGACCACCCTGTTACACTATCAGTTATCAAATTTTATAAATTATCATGCTGAAGTAGCTCCCCAATTGTGTCAAATCCACAGATAACATCCTAGCCCGTTATGTTGCTTTGACTTTTTTAAGTCTTCCTAACCACAAACCCTCCATTTCCAATCATATTTTTAAATGTGTATTTTATCATAAACCCTCTTTCCTGAGACTCTTTACACTTCTTCCTGGGAGGGAATAGCAGAGAACAGATTTACCTTACTCTTGGAACAACTAAAAATGTTAAAACAACAGCTTTCTAAATATTGGATATCAAGCAACAAAAGAGAGTGATATCTGAGAGACAAAACAAATTGCCCAATTGTGGCATGGGGTATTTCTAACTATTGGAGAAAAGACACCAGTCCAAGGAATTTAAGAAAAAGGAAAGTATATATTCATATTAATACTTAACCACAAATATTCATTGCACCTTTAAATACAGTCAAATAAAGCTAAATATAATAACCCAAAACTGAAAACAAAGCAAATGTTTGTCAAAAGGTTAATGGATAAACTGTTCCCTAATCATATGGAATACAATCTAGTTGCAAAAGGAATGGAAATTAATGCATAAAAGATAAGTGCATCAAAAATAAATTGGAAAAATTATAGCACACACTTGTTATTCCAAATATATATGGAATGTATATATACCTATATACACACATACACACAAACATAATTAAATTTTGTACTAATCTACAGTGACAAAAAGTTCAATGATTGATTGGGGGTAGGAAGAGACAAGTTGGTGTAGAAGGAAAGAATTACAAGGAAATATGAGAACATTTGTGCAGTTGATAAAAAATACTCATTGTCCTAATTATAGTGATTGTTGAATGTATATATACATAGGAGAAAACTCACCAAATTATGTAAACTGAAAATTAATCTACTAAATGTAAAGTATGATTTAATAAATTTGTTTTAGAAATAGCAACAACTCTTCAGAAGCTTTAGCATAAAGGTTAAGATGTGAACCTATACCCCAAATCATACACAGTGTCGTAAAGCCATGTAACCTCAATAAAAGAAAAGATTACATAAAAATTAAGACTTGGAGGAAAAAATCCTTACCAGAGCTAAGAAATCTCTTCAATATCTAGTCATGGATGCCCTCTCCAATTCCTTCTTAAAAAAGCCTTCACTTTTTATCACATCAAAGCCTGTGCATGTGCCAATTTCACCCAAAATCGCTTAACCTAATCTACCATCATGTTTCAGCTTAAACTTCACTTTCTCAGGATAGTTTCCCCAGGTGCCTGAAGGTAGAATTTCCATACACACACTCCCTTGCCACCCCACATTTCTTCATATGTGGCACTGAGATAGATCTTGGATTTTCAGGGAGG